TGCAAGGACTACGCCCGAGCAGAAGCTTCGTATCGTCAAAGAGTTCCAGGCTAGAGAGAACGTTGTAGGCATGACGGGTGATGGCGTCAACGACGCTCCCTCGCTCAAAGCTGCTGATATTGGTATCGCTATGGGCGGTGGCTCTGACATTGCCATTGAGGCTTCCGACATGGTTCTTCTCGACTCATTTGCCGCTGTTGTCGAAGCAGTCAAGTACGGACGTCTTGTTTTCGACAACCTTAAGAAGACTATTGTGTACTTGCTGCCAGCCGGTAGTTTCAGTGAGCTCTGGCCTGTCGTTACCAACGTTGTCTTTGGTATCCCGCAGATTCTGTCTTCCTTTCTCATGGTAACTAACACAAATTCGCAGTTTGAAGTACACAAGCTAATGTTCACTAGATCATCATCTGCTGTCTCACCGACTGCGCCGCCGCCGTCACACTTGCATACGAGAAGCCCGAAGCCGACGTGCTGGTTCGTCCACCCCGCAACATCAAAAAGGACAAACTCGTCAACGCTCGCCTCATCTTCCATGCATACTTTTTCGTCGGTCTCCTACAATGTTTCCTCGCCTTCACAATGAGTTACTGGTGGATCGAGCGCAACGGCATTCCCTTCACGGCCATGTGGCTCAAGTTTGGAAATTACGATCCAAAATACAGCCCAGAGCTTATCACCAAACTCACAAACGAGGCGTCTAGTATCTACTTTGTCACTCTGGTCGTCATGTACGTTTTTTTCCAGTCACATTCCATTTTCAAGACCAAAAGGCTAACATTGGATAACAGGCAACTTTTCAATCTCCTCGCAACACGTACCCGCCGCCTCAGCATCTTCCAGCAACCCCCTATTTTCAACAAGACGACTCAGGTACGCATCTCCATCCCCTCCTTTTCTTTCTTGTCCAAGAAAAACTAACACACCCTTCAGAACCTCTCTCTTTTCCCCGCCATGATCTTCGCCATTGTAGTCGCCTTCATCTTCCTGTACATTCCTTCTCTGCAAAGAGTCATTAGCACCACCACTGTCCCCGTAGAGCACTGGTTTCTGCCCGCGGCGTTTGGCGCCGGCTTGCTGCTTCTCGATGAAGCGCGAAAGTATTGCGTGCGTAATTGGCCGAACGGCTTTCTTGCGAAGATTGCTTGGTAAATACAAGTGCGAAAGTTTCGCATGCGTAACCCGCTTGCAAGCATTTTTTTAATAGATATAAACAAGTTAAACAATATTACATGTGAAAGTAGTAGCTGAATAATGGCCGGATTGTGATAATCGCAACTGTGCGTTGGAGAATATAGCTGCAGCGCCTGCCCCCCGAACTGGGCAAAGAGCAAATCATGAGTGATTTTGGGTTGCGGTGATTTAGTAGACGTCAAGTAGCTGTCGGTTGTTTGTTAGATGTTCTGTTGGAGTGCTTTGCGAGCTGGATGGGGGTGAATGAACACGCTGTTGTCGTCTTGCCTATGTACCAGGCACTGCCCGTCTCCGTACCCCATGGGAGGTGTTTATAGGCGTTGAGTCAATTAGTCAACTTAGCAAGGAGCAGTGTAGGTGCTCAGCGAGGAAGAGTAAGAGTGACGTCGGGTTGTTGTGGTTGGTGATTATCTGGTAGGCGTCGGGTGGCTGTCGGATGCCCTGTCGGATCGTTGTTGGCAGAAGTAGTCGGAGGGGACTGTCGGATGTTCCGACCAATCGACGGCCGTCGCTCCCACCCCCCTGTCCAGCGACGGCTGTCGATTGGTCCTTCTCCCCTGTCGAGCGACACCAATCGACGGCCGTCGCTCGAC